GAGACTCGATCCAGGACCCTGGGATCATGACCTGAGCCGAAGGCAGACGCTTAACCATCTGAGCCACCCAGGCGCCCTCTTTTTTCTTTTAACAGGACATGACTTGATGTGTACCTTAATGCCTGGCCCAATGGCAGAAAATATATTTAGGTTTCATTTTAGTATTTTTTTTTTAAAGATTTTATTTATTTAATAGAGAGAGACACAGTGAGAGAGGGAACACAAGCAGGGGGAGTGGGAGAGGGAGAAGCAGGCCTCCCGCGGAGCAGGGAGCCCGATGCGGGGCTCAATGCGGGGCTCGATCCCAGGACCCCGGGAACACGACCTGAGCCGAAGGCAGACGCTCAACGACTGAGCCACCCAGGCGCCCCTCATTTTAGTATTTTTAAGAGGGCTATTTTATTTTTTCTGAGAAAGTAAAATAAATACAAAGTAGTAAGGTATCATTTTAAAGAATAGTACTTTATTGAATAAGTTTTATTCACAGAAAAATAAGCTTTAATCTATGATGATTGCCAGATTATACAGTGGAAAGCAATTTTCTTTGTTTTCCATAGTGATGGAAAGGTTTCTACTAAATGAAAAAAGTCATAAAATTATATTCACAAATATAGCACTCTATCTGAAAACATTTCACGATTATTCACAACACTAATACAATGACATAAGAATCCATCATTCTGTCAGATTAAATGTAACAGTAATGAAAAAATGCAAAATCTTCTAACAAAAATTACATTAAAGCCTTTATTACATCAAACCGAAAATGCAAATTTGTTACTAAGTATAGAGAAAATGACAAAATATACTTATATAGTAATTTTAAATGTTGCATTAATGATACACAATAAGAATGTAGGAAATGCCAAAAAAAACTCTATGCATATTTGCAAACTTTAGTCTTCAAAATACAATCTTACCACCCAAAATATTAATGTAGTATTGTACAATTTGAAGATATATGTATTTAAGATTGTCCTATTGTATTAGTCATAAAGTGTCATTTAATATGTAGTGAAAGTTATGGTATAAAAGAAAGAATAGTTGAAAAAATAAACATTTGAGACCTCCCAGGAGAGGTAACTTGAAGTTTTTCACCTTCAAACTATGTCCCAGTCTGGGCTGCCACTAAGTAGCTAGATAGCTTTGAATAAATCACTTCACCTTTGAGCCTCAGTTGTCTCACCTGTAAAATGAGGAGGAAGAATCAGATCCTCTCTAAGGTCACTTCTAGCTCTGACACTCTAGGATTCTAGTATGCCGCTAGTGAAATTCACATTGTGCTAAGTGATTAAGAGTCAAATTGACACTGATAATGAAAGTGGGAATAAGCCAACTGTTCCTATTAGGAAAGCTCACCGAAATCGGTAAGAATAGTTTTTTCTTCCAGATTTTTTAAAACGGAACTTAAATATTTTTAAGGACCTGACCTATTATAATTTACATCTTAACTATGAGAAACGCCAAAAAAGATGAGTAAGAGTCACTGAAAGAGTTATCATCTAAGTTTCAGCCCAAATTTCCAGAGTCAAGGCAAACCCCTGGAGGGTGAGAGAGTGTGCTGGGAAGGGAATGAACATTTGTAGCAAGTATCTGACATCCAGGGTCTCCCTGAACTCTCCTGATTTTGTAAGATAGGTATTATTCTTATTTCAGAGATGAAGAAACAGCTCTCTTTTTTAAAGCAGACTTGGCTAAAAATAACTACATCGGTCAACTATCCCCTCCTGTTTTCTTATTTCTCTAATGGAAATGAAAAACCTACCCCATTTCTCCCACTCCCCCACTCTTTCCCCTCATATTCATCCCCTGGGGAATCAGGAAATAAAACAATGATTTGGGCTTAAAGAGTACAATACACGCACCTAATGCTGTGGTGGTAGTCTCCATTCAGAGAGTTCAAAATACCAGTTTTATCCACTCAAAACAGGAAAAAAAACAACCTACCAAAATTTAAATAATATAACCACAAAAACAAAAGATCATAGTTAGGCAGGACCAAATCACATTATATACACCCATCACACCCACCCTACCCGATCTTCGCCCTTAACCAAAGGGGAAAAAAAAAAAGAAAACTAAGATCGAACCTAGCAGGAAAGGCAATACAAAGCCGTTAATTAATATATTGGAGTTTACTTTATAAACATGAAACCCATTTTTCAAAAATTAAAACAAGGCTTTTGATCAGCACACCAAATTATTATGAATAAAGAGAACTACTTAGTACCAAACAACCTGACTCTTCGCATGACTAAAATGTAGTAAAATAGGTGGTGACTTCGAAATCTTTAGAGTGAACTTTCTAACAGAAAAGGAATGTCTACATGTAGATACGGAGAACTATTTTGGGAAAGGGGGAGGCGCAGATTTGGATCTGGTTATATTTTTGACCTTGCAAGTAATCATTTTTTGCACAACTAGATGGAAAGGATCCAGTGCTTTTTATAGTGAGAACACAGACAAACATTGGTAAGTCTTAAAAAAAAATGTGATTAGAAGTTGGAGTGCTGAGTGATTTCAGAACCTGAAGCAACAGCATTTCTAAACAATTCTTAAAATAAACTTGTTAGCCACATCAGCTTCATGCATTACATTTCACAACTCATGGGGAGAGAAAAGGTCTTTCTTAACTCTGAACATACAAGTTTTAAAAGAAGAGTTTTAATGAACTGAGGCTCCCAGAACAGGAAAAGCCTTATGTTAAAACAATTCAGTCCTTGGCCAACAACTAGATTGAACTACCTACCTGACTTGGAGCTGATGTGTTCTGGAAAACACATTTAAGAATCTTTAACACTTTTCTCCCCTTTTAATTTAAATTCAAAGCTTAGACTATATATGTAAAATTTAACTTAATGAACATTTAATTAAACCTAAGTGGAAGTGCAAAGGTAAAGAACTGAGAGTTTACACGATAAAACAAAAACCCCTGGGCAGTCATTATTTAATTTAAAAAGTTCTCATTTAAATTTGCAATGCTTTAAATGACTGTCACTTAAAATAGTCATCCACAGAGGTGACGAGAACTTGACAATACTCTATCTCTTAGAAAATACGATGAAAATAGAATTTTTAAGTTTCACTCTCAAACGTTTCTCCGCAGTAAAATGCCTCATTCACCTCTATGACAGGTCGGTTTTAGAATCCTGTAAGCAAACCCTGGGTGTTGTATGAAGCACTTCTAAACTTCTTATTTTTTATCTCTATTGACTTTTATTCAAGTTTTATTTTCTTTTTAATATTTAAACAAGTATTCTCGTTTTCTTGTCAATATTTTCTAATTTCCAAGAGATTTTAAGGATCTTGAGAGAACATTTATTTCAGAAGTATCTACTACTATTACTAGTCAAGGAAACAAAACAATTTAGGTAAAGACTTGACATTTTGTCCTATATACATCTTAATTATCCTAACAGTAAAAACGCACACGAAACTTTAAAATACGAGATGATATGAGAAGCTCAACATGGAAAAGCTGTCCCTAAAACTACGAGCAGTGTACAAACATGCTTCTACTTTTTCCTACATAAGCTGACAGATGGTTAAAATACTGGGTTAACAAAGATCTTTTAGTAAAGTGACTTAGGCAGGCTTAAACTAGCAAGGATTAAAGATGAATCCTTACTAATTAATTGGAAGATCTGAGACATATTTTATATTTCATTTTACAAAATCAGGAATATTTATTTTGAAACAAGAGAAGACATGGTCTACCTGTCAGAAAACTACCACTCAGAAATATTTTTCATCCACAAAGCAGGAAAAACATAAAAACATTTAAATTTCACATTGGCACCAAAAAGGTTAACTGCTCTGCCTTCTTGGATTAGAAAAACTAAAGCTGAGCAATAAGTAGTTTTGCAGGCGTTTGAACATGCCTAAGCCTTTAAATCAGTAAAATACTTTCTAAAAATTCTGATTACAAAAGTAATACATACTTATAAAAAATCCAAACAGAACAAAATGAAAAAGTAGAAAGTGAAAGGCCCCTGCAACCCCCCTCTGGGCCCTACCCACCCCCCACCCCCCTCAAGAGAAACCACATTTAACAGTTTGGTGCTTTATCCGTCCAAATCTTTTGTTCTATACATATACAAAACACACACACCTTCATCTGACTCATTCTATACACAGTGTTTTGCCACTTCAGTTTACACTTAATATACCTTTGATATCTTTCCATGTCAGTACATGTTGGCTAGATGGTATTCTATCCTTAAATACCCTTTTAACAATGGCAAAATCATTTTTTACAATCACCCACCCAAGCACGTGTGTATAATTTTAAAAGAGAATGGACAAAATCCTAAAACACAAAGCAAACATCTAAAAATAATCTGTATCTTTCCACCAGTGTGGAACAGTTCATTCCTTTTCACACAAAACATTATGTGATTGGGGAGATTAACTAATCTCCACGTTTACACAGAATGCTCCATTTGTTAAGCCTATATGAAAAGAATGAAAAATTCAGTTGATTAATTCACTTACACTTAGAAACTAAGTTAGTGTACTACGAATACACATTGTGATCAGTTACAATATGCTTCTTAGTCTAGATTTCAATTAAATAACAGTAAAAAAAAAAAAAAAGATATACAACATAGCTAATATCCCCCAAAATCAAGAAATTCAAATTTTAGATTACGAACTAGAACACTGTAGTTTACATTTTGTCTACTTGGTAGCAAATGCTAATGGCATTCAATGCTGATTACTTAAAGTCAGTTCACATCACACACTCAATCAGGGTAATGAGAAGAACATAATGCGCCTAACTGTAGAGTTAGATTAAGACATAAAAATTTTTTGCTTGAAAGTAATGACTGTGTAGCACATGGGACATTTGTCAACTGCTTCAGCACATTGTTTACAAGTGACCAGATGTCCACAAGGAATGAAAACCACAGCAATATTTCTATCCATACAGATTTTGCAAAGCTTCTCCTCTTGCAGGAGCCTTAGCTGCTCTTCAGCACTAATCTCTGCACAAAGAGAAAAGAAATGTGTTAATTTTTGACTTTCTTAGTTGTTGAAATGTATTGAAACAACACGAACCCCTACTATGTGCCAGGCGCTAATCAAGGGCGGGGAGACAGGATGACTCACACATGACACCTGCTCTTAAGCAGCTTGCAGGCTAGAGGAGAGAAGGACGTGAACTGAGGCTATGGAGGGAAGCACAAAGTACAAAGTGATAAGTGCTATAATAAAGTTATGTACAAAGTGCTCGGGGACGAGATGAGAGAACGAGTTCTTCTGTTCAGATGAGCTGGGAAAAGCTTCTCAGGTTGGCAGCTGCAGGGTGGGGGATGGGGGAAATGGAGGAGTGACATTTAAACACAGCCGGCAACTTGCCAGGCACAGAAGCCAGGGTTAGGTAAAAAGAAGTGACACATGGAAAGGGCATGACTTACTCCAGAAATGGAGGAATGGATCTGAGGGACACTTCTGAAGTGGGACTGCTAGGATTTGGTGACTGAGTAGATGTGAGGGGTGAGGAAAAAAAGAGGAAACAGTTGATTTTAAGATTTCTAGTGTGGCTGACAAGGGGATGGTGATGCCAAAAGGAAATATAGGAGGAGGTACTGGTTTGGCATTTTTCAAGTTGTTTTTGAGGTGTTTGCAGGGCATCCGTATATAAATGTCATTGGACAGTCACGTCTTGAGGTCAGGAGAAGGTAGGGCTAGAAAGAGAGATTTGGGTGCCATCAGCATACAGGTAACACTAAAGTGCTCGCTAAATTCAGCCTTTCCCAAATTAGGTTTGTGAAGTGTTAACAAATACGTCACACAAATGTGTTTCATAGTCAAACAGAACTATAATGACAGAGGCACCTGGGTGGCTCAGTCGGTTAAGCGTCCGACTCTTGATCTCAGCTCAGGTCTCCATCTCACGGTTGTGAGTTTAAGCCCTGCGTTGGGCTCCACAAAAAAAGAACTATAATGACATCATCATCAACAATGGCAGCAGTTAACAGTAACACAGCACTTATTACTACGTGCCAGGCATTATTCTAAAGGCATTACATATCTGTAATCTTTGTAGACCAGTGGTTTCCAAATGTGGCTGCACGTGGGAATCACTTGGGGCATTTTTTTAAAAAGATTTCTTTATCTTTTTCCGAGATGGGGGGAGGGGCAGCAGGAGAGAATCTTCAAGCAGACTCCCCACTGAGTGGAGCCCCCGGGGGGCTCCATCACAGGACCCATGAGATCATGACCTGAGTCAAAACCAAGAGTTGGACGCTTAACTGACTGAGCAACTCAGGCGCACTTGGGACATTTTTTTAACGATAGATTGCTAGGCCCCATTAACTAAATCTAAAATTTCTGGGGTTGTTTTTTTTTATTTTGTTCCGAAATTAAAGTATGCAAAATAAAGAAGATATGGTTTTACACAACGACAACAATTTTTGGGATGGCACACACAGGCTTGGGAACCACTGCTATGAAGTACAGGTTAGTACAGTACAGTCTATGTCCCCTCTTAGAAAGTCACAATGCATGGCCCTATTTAACTACAGAGCTCCTTTTTCTCCCCTCACTTTTTTTTGTTCCCTCTTCATGGCATCCCTTTTAACATCTTGGGGAACACTTGTGTTGTTGTTGTTTTTTTAAAGATTTTATTTATTTATTTGACAGAGAGAGACACAGTGAGAGAGGGAACACAGGCAGGGGGAGTGGGAGAGGGAGAACAGGCTTCCCAAGGAGCAGGGAGCCCGATGTGGGGCTCGATCCCAGGACCCTGGGACCATGACCTGAGCTGAAGGCAGACGCTTAACGACTGAGCCATGCAGGCGCCACATTTTTTTTTTTTAAAGATTTTATTTATTCATTTGAGACAGAGCATGAGCAGGGGGAGAGGCAGAGGCAGAGGGAGAGGGAGAAGCAGGCTCCCAGCCGAGCAGGGAGCCCGATGTGGGGCTGGATCCCAGGATCCCAGGTTCATGACCTGAGCCGAAGGCAGACGCTTAACCATCTGAGCCACCCAGGCGTCCCCTTGGGAACACTGTTTTGAAAACAAGTTTGGGAAATAGTGGTTGAGTTTTATTCAACAAATATTTACTGAACATTTAACTAGGTTCTAGGAACTAGAGATACAACAATTAACAAATACATAGGCCCCAGGCCCCTAATTGTTCATAAACAAGAAACACAAGTAGACAGGAAATTATAATAGAGTGTACTGATAAAGGTAATTACAATGTGTTATGAAGAACACAGGAAGCGTGTGAGCGTGCACACATACATAAACAGAAGGCCTCCTGGAAGAAATTATACTTAAACTGGGTCCTAAAGGATGAGGAGGAGTTAACTAGGAAAGATGGAGAGGGGACCCTGAGGGAACAGAGGCAGTGGGAGAAGAATGTTCCGGGCAGAGGAAATGGCACAGGCAGGCTCCAAGGGGAGAGACAGAACAAGGCCTGTAAGTGCACGGGTAAGGCCTGGGGAGGGACACAGCATGACATGAGGGTACAGAAGGTTACAGGGGCCCGGTCATGAAAGATTTGGCAACCCACATAAAGGAGTTTGGACTTGATCCTGAGGGCCCTGGGGGCCAGTAAAGGGTATTAACCTGGAGAGAGAGAGAGAGTGAGATTTGTGTTTTGGAGAAGTATGCCTGACCAGGGGTGGAAAGTATTATTTAATCTCTTTCTTAAAAAGCAACCTCATGGTTTAATAATCAAGACTATAAGCTCAAACATGGACTGCATCAGAGATAAGATAAAGCACCTGTCCTCAAGAAGCTTGGTCTGATGTGCAGGACAGAAAAGAAAACCGTTCTAAAACAATGTTACGAATGCTCTCATAGCAGCGCAAGTAGAGAAGAGGGAGCTCTGGACTCTGCTGTGGGTCCTGGGGAAAGCTTCAAAGAAGGACCTCTAAGTGGAGCCTTGAAGGATGAGTTCACAAGATGGATTTAGGGGACTGGGGGTGGAGTGGGGAATGAGACTAGGTACACAGACAGGGAAAAGGCAGCTGGGGCAGAGGGAACAATAGAAGTAAAGGGTTGGCAACTCTACACTGATTTGTATTATATTAAAGCATTTAACCAAAAAAATCAGAATCAAGTACATACTCATGCCCCCCCAAAAAGGAGGAAAACAATTAAGAAATTCACACATGACTTTTGGATGTGACGCTCCAATGAGTAAAACGAACACTGGACCTCGAAGAGTCAAGTTTATAGAGACAGAAAGCAGAATGGTGATTGTCAGGGGCTGGGGGAGGGGGAATGAGGAGGTGTTGTTTCATGGGGACAGAGTTTCAGTTCTGTAGATAAAAAGATTTGTGGAGACTGGTTGCACAACTGTGAATGTACTTAACGCTACTGAACTGTACACTTAAAACATTTTTTTAAGAGGAACACTGGACCACATGTCAGGAAACCTGATTTTTATTCCCAACTAGCTGAGTGATCTTTGCCAACAGCACATCTATACTTCAGTTTTCTTACTGAAGTAATGTAAGTTATTATATGATCTTTCAGGTTCACTTTCGTTCTGATGCTCTGATTCCATTTTACAGACCACAGTGGAATGAAATGTCTGGCCTACCAAACACTGTTATCAACTTTTTCTACCTTATTTCAGCCTTATGTACAGCTGCTTACTTGACATGGTGAGGCTCTGGGCATAGATTTTACCTCCTGAGACCAATAGTTTATCTTTGACAATTTTATTTCACTCAAGCCTTAGGGTAACTATTAGATTCTACGTCCTTTACTATGGCACCTTTCCCCTTCTAATTTCTTTAAATAATTAATTTATTTGAGAAAGAGAGAGGGAGAGTATACAAGCAGGTGGAGGAACAGAGGGAGAGGGACAAGCAGACTCCACGCTGAGCACAGAGCCCAACGCGGAGCTCAATCCCTAAGATCATGACCTGAGCTGAAATCAAGAATCAGACGCTTAACCACTGTGCCACCCAGGCGCCCCATCTTTTTTAAGATTTTATTTATTCATTTGAGAGAGAGAGAGAGAGCACGAGTTGGGGAGAGGCAGACTCCCCTGCTGAGCTAGGAGCCCAATGTGGAACTAGATCCCAGGACCCAGAGATCATTACCTGAGCCGAAGGCAGACGCTTAACATCTGAGCCACCCAGGCACCCCCAACTTTTTTTTTAATTATTTATTTATTTGAGAGACAGAGAGCGTGTGAGCAGGGGGAGGGGCAAAGGGAGAGGGAGAGAGAATCTCAAGCAGACTCCCCACTGAGCATAGAGCCCGATGCAGGGCTTGATCCCACAACCCTGAGATCGACCCTGAGCTGAAATCAAGAGTTGGATGCTTAACTGACTGAGCCACCCAGGCGCCCCAGCACGCTATGTATTCTTTAAAAAGAAAGAAAGATGCTATTTGGTACTATTTTTAGAAGACCATTTCCTGGGCTATTCTCTGTCACACAGCCATTGGGATAAAGCTAGTACTGAATCTAGGATTTCTCAGTAAGCAACAATAACAGTGTAGTTTTTCTAATAACTTCCACCTGCTTCACCTCAGTTAGGCCCGCCTTCTATTTTGTATAGAATTAAGAGTCTTTGTGCCGGGGTGCCTGGGTGGCTCAGTCGTTGGGCGTCTGCCTTCGGCTCGCGTCATGATCCCGGGGTCCTGGGATCGAGCCCCGCGTCAGGCTCCGTGCTCTGTAGGAAGCCTGCTTCTCCCTCTCCCACTCCCCCTGCTTGTGTTCCGTCTCTCTCTGTCAAATAAATAAAGTCTTAAAAAAAAAAAAAAAAAAGAGTCTTTGTGCCAGTCTTTACTCATCAGCCCTGGGGAAGAGGAACAGGCAGCAGCCCTAGTGTGAGAAGATAGCCTGTATCAATTAACCTCCCTCTCAATTTAATGAGACCAAGGAGAGGTCAACTGATGAATTCCAACTCCTGAGAGCTGCCCTTTGCTTAGGCCCTACTTCCCACACCATCCTAGCTTGTAGTCTCTGTGATAAGAACCCCCATCAACTCCTGTTGGATAGAAAAGACACTCCCTAAAGCACTCTGTTCTCTTCCTATTACAACCCACTAAATCATCCTGTTGCTGACAATACCTTCAGGTATAAAAACTAACACCTTATTGTCAAACTTGAGTTGTGGTTAAGATGCAGGGAAAAATGATATGATCACTTGTATTTCTATTACAGTAGAAAGATGACCAAGTCAGTGGTTCATTTTACCATTACCAGGACAAGTGAAGCTATAACAGGTTTTAAACAAATGTCTACTTAGGAAAAGAGTAGTAAGCTTTCTGCTGAATGTTTTACATCAACTGATGAAATTTAAAAAAATCACTGTTATACTGTTTTGTGACTGATGTAATTATCTGAATGTTTTAGAAGCATTTGAAATAACTTAAAAATCAAAAGGGTCTATTCATTTTTTAATTTTAATTTTTTTTTAAGTAAGCTCTACATCAACATTGAGCTTGCACTCAACCCTGAGATTAAGAGTCACATGCTCTTCTAACTGAGCCAACCAGGTGCCCCAAAATGGTCTTTAATGTAAAAAAAAAAAAAATAGTAAACTTTTAGATTTATTAGCACAGGGAGAATTTTCAAACTTTGGGAGAGGTGGTCAAGAGCTCAGAGAACAATGACTATAACAACGTACCTCAGTACCCAAAATGTATTCACAGTTTGAAACCTTTTTTTTTTTAAAGATTTTATTTATTTGACAGAGAGAGACACAGTGAGAGAGGGAACACAAGCAGGGGGAGTGGGAGAGGGAGAAGCAGGCTTCCCGCAGAGCAGGGAGCCTGATGCGGGGCTCCATCCCAGGACCCCGGGATCATGACCCAGGCCAAAGGCAGACGCTTAACGACTGAGCCACCCAGGCGCCCCTGAAACCTTTTCTTTAACCTTCGATGTTGCCATCAAACACTAGAGTTGCTTTCATTCTGAAAGAAGGAACTTATATTTTTTATCTTTTTTTCCTAAAAGGAGTTTATATGCTTCTCTTGCATATTATTTAATATACTTTTTAGAGGTGCCTGGCTGGCTCAGTTAATAGACCATGCGACTCTTGATCTCAGGGTTGTGAGTCCAAACCCCGACTTGGGCGTGGAGCCTACTTAAAAAAAAAGTTTAATACACTTTCTCTGTATGATTTACAGTACCAGGGGGCCACTCATTCAAGCTGTATTTAGTAATATAGTGCTTTTACAGGTTTATATCACATGAAAAGTTGCAGAACACTCTAAGTCCATTTTAACTACAAAACTTACAGATTTCACACACAATCATAAAAGCCTTCATTGTTCTTTATCTAAATTAAAACACAAACCCACACTTAAATAAATCAGGGGTGCCTGGGTGGCTCAGTCAGTTAAGTGTCCGACTCTTTTTTTTTTTCTTTTTTTTTAAAGACTTATTTATTCTAGAGAGAGACAGAAGGGGGGAGGGGCAGAGGGAGAAAATCCTCAAGCAGACTCCCCACCGAGTGCGGAGCCTAATCCCACAACCCATGAGATCATGACCTGAGCTGAAACCAAGAGTTGGATGCTTAACCAACTGAGCCGCCCAGGCACCCCAGCATCCGACCCCTGATTTCAGCTCAGGTCATGAGGATCAAGGGATCAAGCCCTGCAAAGGGCTTCATGCTCAGTAGGGAGTCTGCTTGAGATTCTCTCTTTCCCTCTCCCTCTGTCCCTTCCCCCCTGCACTCTCTCTAAAATAAATAAATAAATCATTACAAAAATAAAATTAAATTACTAAATCAGTGGATCTTACTTGGATACCAATTAGGACAAATCAACTGTTAAGAATGTTTTAAGACAATGGGGAAAATTAAAACCAACTGATTTTCAAATGATATTATGGAATTATTGGTAATTCTGTTAAGTGTGGTAACAGTATGTTATGGAATAAATGTATCCCCCCCCCCAAATTCATATGTTGAAGCCCTAAACTCCCAATGTGATGGGACTCACAGATGGGCTCTTTGGGAGGTAATTAAATTTATATGAGGTCGTAAGGGTGGGATGTGCTCATTATGGAATCAGTATCTCTTTTATTTCTTTTTTTCTTTCTTTCTCTTTATGTATGTATGTATTTTTATTTTTATTTATTTTAAAGATTTTATTTTTACATAATCTCTACACCTAACGTGGGGCTCAAACTCACAACCCCAAGATCAAGAGTCGCATGCTCTACCGACTGAGCCAGGTACCCCTGTATTTATTTTTAAAGTAAACTCTAGGGGCGCCTGGGTGGCTCAGTCATTGAGGGTCTGCCTTCGGCTCAGGTCATGGTCTCAGGGTCCTGGGACTGAGCCCCGCATCGGGCTCCCTGCTCAGCGGGAAGCCTGCTCCTCCCTCTCCCACTCCCTCTGCTTGTGTTCCCTCTCTCGCTGTGTCTCTCTCTGTCAAATAAATCAATCAAATCTTTAAAAAAAACAAATAAACTCTATGCCCAACGTGAGGCTCAAACTCACGACCCCAAGATCAAGAGTCACATACTCTACTGACTGAGCCAGCCAGATGTCCCATGGAATCAGTGTATTTATAAGAAGAGGAAGAGAGACCAGAGTGCTCTCTCTTGGCCACGTGAAGACACAGAGAGAAGGCAGCCATGTGCAGGCCTGGAAGAGAGTCCTCATCAGGAACCAAATCTGCCAGCACCTTGATCCTGGACTTCCCGGCCCCCAGAAATGTGAGAAATAAATATCTGTTGTTTAAGTCTATGGTATTCTGTTAGAGCAATCTGAGCACAGTTTAAGTTACTGTTTAACACAACAGTATTAAGATTATGTTAAAAAAAAAAATCCTTATCTGTTAGGTATATTTAAAGTATTTATAGGTAAATGATATATGGGATACCTGGAATTTTCTTTGAAATACCATAGCAAAAAAAGTTGGGGGAAGAAATGAAACAAGATTGAAAAATTGTTGATAATTATTGAATCTGGTTTATGGGTACGTGAGGGTTCATTTTAGTATTTTCTCCACTTTTGAGTATTTGTGAATTTTTTATTAATAGAAAGTTTTAAAGAAATGTTTATCCTAAGGGGGATATGAGAAGGGAAAAAAATGAATGGGTCACAAAGTCATATAAGAAACTAACCGGGGGTGCCTGGGTGGCTCAGTCGTTAAGCGTCTGCCTTCGGCTCAGGTCATGATCCCAGAGTCCTGGGCTCGAGTCCCACATCGGGCTCCTTGCTCAGCGGGAAGCCTGCTTCTCCCTCTCCCACTCCCCCCACTTGTGTTCCCTCTCTCGCTGTGTCTCTCTCTGTCAAATAAATAAATAAAATCTTTAAAAAAAAAAAGAAACTAACCATAATGAAGTACTGTTAGGTGTTTCTTGCTTTTTAAAAACAGCCATGCATACCTTTTTGCAATGAAGTCTGGCTTGATTCATCTTGTGTATTGTCTTTCTGAGCACTCACTAGATCTGAAACCAGAATCTCAAGTGATTTATAGTTGCTCCCAGATGTCTGAATTTTTTCCTCCATTATTTTCTTAATGTCCTTGAAACTAAATCCCATTCGTATAGCTTCTTGTAACATAGGATTTTGGAAGATGGCATCATCTGAAATAAAAATTGGTGAGGAAAAAGAACAGAGTTTAAACAATTATTTTCATTAATACAACTCAACAGCAAAGTACAGTTAAAAAGAAAAAGGTAAGCAGCAAGAAAAAAACAAAAAACAAACCAGCAAATCAAAGCTACTTTGGGAAGAAGATTTTGAAATATTTATTGAAATATTTAAGCACTGAAGAATCTTTCAGAATCTTATAATCATTGAAAATACAGTATTATTTTGTAGCACTATGAATTGAGATAAGGTGCTTTAAAGACCGAAGAAACAGTAAAAGATTAGGTAAAGAAATAGTAAAAAATTAGGTAAAGCCGATTCAAAGAAAAAGTTAAATGCTTCAAAAATCAGACCTTTTTTCAAATCAGCTGTACTCATTAACAGCTAACCTAAGTACTTAAAGAGTAGGTATCTTTCCCAAGTCCTTAGCAATTATTTTGGAAAAATCATGGGAAACAGGAGGAATTCACAGTCTGTGACCTTAAATGTGTGAGTTTCCTATCTCTGAGACTGAGTTTCTGCAGTCAAGGGGGGTGAACCAGATAAGGCAACAAAATGAACAGAAATTCACTGTAATGGTACTCAAAGTAGAAATACAGGTTATGTAGAGAACTGCTAAAAGAGGAGACTTATTTACAACCTCTGATTCATCAATTCTACTCGAGTATTAAATATAAGTACAAAGGTCCACCAAAAAAAAAAAAATCCACCAAAGACATGCACAAGAATATTCACAGCAGTGCCATTTGTAACAGCCTCAAACTGGGAACAACTTGAACATCTATCATCAGGTGAATGGATAAGTAAACTGTGGTATATTCAAACACTACACAGCAAGAAGAAAAATGAACTACTGCCACAGACAACATAATGAATCTCACAGATCTGATGAACAAAAAAGTCATCATAATGATGAGCCAGAGACAAAAGAATATACCATATGATTGCATTTATAAGATGTTCAAAACTAATCTATGGTAACAGAAGTCAGAACATAACTTAGGGTAGATGTTGATTGGGAAAGGGGCCTGAAGGAGTTTCTGGCATGGTGGAAATGTTCTATATCTTTTTTCTTAAAGATTTTATTTGAGAGAGAGCACTAGCGGGAAGGGGATGGGCAGAGGGAGAGGGAGAAGCAGACTCCCCGCTGGGCAGGGAGCCCGATGCGGGGCTCAATCCCAGGACGCCGAAATCATGACCTGAGCCGAAGGCAGATGCTTAACTGACTGAGACACACAGTTGCCCCTGTTCTATATCTTGATTTGGCTGATGACTACACTGATAAATGCACATTAAAATTCATTGAATTGAATACTTAAGATTAGTCTATTTTAAGCATTTTATTGTATGTGTATTGTATTTCAATAAATGTTTTTTAAAAAGAGCCGTTGGAAAGGGATTTGATTATAAGAAATATTACATGGTAAGTAACAAAAGAAGTAGGAAAGTAACTTAAGATTTCTGTTTGATAAAGAAAAATTCTGTTGGGAGGTTATAATGCACATAAAAGACCATTTATGAGACTACTAAAGCATCTGAATGATAAATAAGGGCAGAAACTAGGGCAGAACCAGTGGATTTTAGACAATATTAAAAAGGTTGACTTCATCAGACCTGGTGGTTAATTAACTGTAGAGGGATTAAGGAAAGCAAAGAGCTTAAAATGATTCAAATTACTGGGTGACTTTGTGAACTGTGGAGCTATTAACCAACTTGGGGGGGAGGGGAAGAACAGGACTGGATTCAGTCTGAGTGGTTTTTCTTTAAAGATTTTTATTTATTATTTATTTGACAGACACACAAGCGAGAGAGGGACCACGAGCAGGGGGAGTGGGGGAGGGAGAAGCAGGCTTCCCACGGAGCAGGGAGCCCCATGCGGGGCTCGATCCCAGGCCCCGGGGATCATGACCTGAGCCGAAGGCAGGCGCTTAACAACTGAGCCACCCAGGCGCCCCGTCTGAGTGATTTTTAGAAATGCTGAATTTGAGCTGCTTTTAGAGATTTCTAGGTGGAGATGTCCAGAGGTCAGCTGGACATCACGCTTTCCTGGTTCTACAATTTGGTTTTTTTTCCAGCTTGTTTCACTGGCTCCTTCTGCTCACCTGATTAGACATTGGTGGTTCCCTTCCATTCTCTCACTGATCGCCCCCTTTTTAACAATCTCTCTGGATACTTCCCCCACTACCACAATTTTACCCTTACTTATGTGAGTTCCAGGTTTTAAGACCCACCTACTTGGATATCCTGCAGGTATCTCAAGCTTATCTTGCTAAAAACCAAAAGCAGGGACAACAGGATATCCACATGAAGAATAATTAAAATGGCCCCCACCTTACACATATATAAAAATTAACTCAAAATGGATCAAAGACCTGAATGTAAGAGATAAAACCATAAAACTCTTAGAAGAAAACATAAATGACCTTGGATTAGGCAATGATTTCTTAGATATAACACTAAAAGCATAAGCAACAAAAAATAATATAAATTGGATTTCATCAAAATTAAAAATTTATATACTTCAAAGGTACACCAGCAAGAAAGTGAAAAGAGGGGTGCCTGGGTGGCTCAGTCATTAAGCGTCTGCCTTTGGCTCAGGTCATGATCCCAGGGTCCTGGGATCCAGTCCCGCATTGGGCTCCCTGCTCCGAGGGAAGCCTGCTTCTCCCTCTCCCACTCTCCCTGCTTGTGTTCCCTCTCTTGCTGTGTTTCTCTCTGTCAAATAAATAAATAAAATCTTTAAAAAAAAAAAGTGAAAAGAACAAGTGAACATATTTACAAATCATGTATCTGACATGGGACGTATATGTAAAAAACTAGAATATATAAAGAATTCTTATAACTCAATAACAAAAAGATAAATAACCTAACTAAACAATGGGCAAAGGCAATGGACATTTCTCCAAAGAAGACATACGAATGGCCAATAAGCACATGAAAGGATGGCTGACATCATTAGCCATTGGGAAATGCAAATCAAAACCACAATAAGATACCACTTTACATCCACTAAGATGGCTGTAATGAAACATACGGGGCGCCTGGGTGGCTCAGTCGTTAAGCGCCTGCCTTCGGCTCAGGTCATGATCCCAGGGTCCTGGGATTGAGCCCCACAGCAGGCTCCCTGCTCTGCGGGAGGCCTGCTTCTCCCTCTCCCACTCCCCCTGCTTGTGTTCCCTCTCTTGCTGTCTCTCTGTCAAATAAATAAATAAAATCTTAAAAAAAAAAAAAGACATACAATAACTAGTGTTAACAAGGATGTGGAGAAACAAACTGGAAACCTTATACACTGCTAGTGGGAATGTAAAATGGTGCAGCCATGTTGGAAAACTGGCCCGTTTATCAAAAGGTTAAATGTAGAGTTACTACATGACCCAGCAATCCATGCTGAAATATATACTCAGAATTAAAAACCTATGTCTACACAAAAATTTGCACACAAATGTTCATAGCAGCATCAGTATCCTTCATAAGAGCCAGAAAGTAGAAACCCAAATGTCTATCAACTAACTGATGAATGGATAAAGAGAATGTGGTATTATCCATACAAAGGAAAATTTTTCCACCATAAAAAAAGAATGAAGTACTCCTATAGGAGTACCACAACATGGATGAACTTCAAAGCCACATATTATGATTCCATTCATATGAAATGTCCAGAATAGGCAAACCCAGAGAGACAGAAGTAGATTGGTAGTTGTCTGGCTGGACCTGAGGGTGAAGGGGCAGCAATGGGGAGTGACTGCTAGTGACTGCTAATGGGCATAGGATTTCTTTTAGGGATTACGATAATGTTCTGCAATTAAATAGCAGTGATGGTTCCACAACCTTGTGAATATACCAAAAACCACTAAAGTGTACAGTTTATAAGGGTGAAATTTTTGCTATATGAATTACATCTCAATTTTAAAACATTAATCCTAAACTAGAGTCTCATTAGTCATAAAAAGTACAGGATGCATTGTAAGGATGATTACTATCAAGAAATGTTATAGAATCTTCATTTGTGGATAATTTAAAAAATATAGGCTGGAATAAACGATTTCTTAAACTTTATTACTTATGTCCATTACAAACCTGTATCAAACATTATCAAAGTGGCTCTCCTTCTTAAGCATATTTATGCATATATATAGTTTTGTCTTGTAACCCTTAAAATACTAAATAGATGACACTATAAGGAATGGGGAATCAGTAGACATATTCTAAATTTACTATTTTTGAAACATGATGCCTAAGTTGAGAACGAGATCTACAGTGTGATGTAGGTTTCAAAAGACCCTGTTTATAGTCCTAGTTCCACTAATGATTTGTAATGTATCTGTGGGCAGGTCACTTAACCTCCTTGACTCTGTTTCTTCACCTGAAATGTGGGGATAATGGTATCATCTCTGCTTAACATAGTTATCTTTCTGGTTTTTAAAGAGGTTTACGATGAGTAAGTAATCTTCGGGATAAAAACCTCTACCTCTCTATAAGGGAACAGGAGGTAAACCAAACCATGTCCCTCTGTGAAGAAACTGGGGGAGGCACAAAGATGGCACGGGATAAGGAAGCAGGTAGGGCTGATCATGGTGATGGCACATTAGAGCGTTGGATTCATGATCCTGGCTAACTCAAGAAGCACCTGGGACAAAAATACACTTAACTCCTCCTTTTGTGATTTTAACAGAAATGACAATGGACAGCCTACAGTTGCTGCGCCTGAACTTAGAAAAGCTAACTGCCCAATCTCCATAGGAATATTCTTTCTTAAAATTTTATTTTTTATTTTTTAGTATAATTAATATAATTTTATTTATATATAACTATATAACTTATCATTTAATATGATTTAGCATAATTTTTAAATTTTCCAGTACAATTAATGTACAGTGTTACATTAGTCACACGAATGTTAAGATATAAATATCTGGCTTAAATTTATAAGCACTTCATTAATTCTTAGATTTATAGCAAACTCATCTCAAATAAATATACCTTGATTACCTTGAAAGAACAAGTTTAAGTCTCTACCCCATAAATAACAACTGTAATAAACTGGCAATGAAATTAGGAGTATAATTATTTTAATAAACATATTTACCAATTCTTTTAGTTAATGATGGTGTTTTTTCAGCAGTTCTTACCTAAAATAGAAATATGGATTATAAGTTAGAATTCTTTTTGGTAGAAGGCAATTACCTCAATTTGAAAAATTACACTAATCATGAATTTATAAATTGGCTTTATTCCAATTCAACACACGAAGGTTCGCAAGAGGCATAACGTGATCAAGCTAGAAGGAAGTTAAAAGATCATCTAACCCAATACATTCACTTTATAGACAAGACACTGAGGCTCAGGGAGCTAAAACAACTTAATGGAGGCAAGAGAGTTCACGGTAGGGCCATAATGGCAACTCTGGCCTCCCACTCCCACATGGTACCTTGGCCACTCCAGGACGCACCATCAATTTAGACACAGTTTTGAGATTTAAAATATTGTCTATGAAAAGCTTACAACTATTTATGACTATAAAACACATTACACAAAAGTCTAATTTCAGAAAGCTGAGGGATTAAGTATTTTAGTTCTTCAAGCCCACTTTTGTTTACAGTGATAGGTAAATCAATCAGCTCATGGTGATTCCCTTTTCATAAATCTGCTTCAGGTTAAGAATAACAAGCATTCTTCAAGATCTCCCCTTTAAAGCTCACCATACATTATTAATTTAAGATACTATACTGTGAATTTTACACCAAGAAATCATTGCAAACGAAATTAATATTTAAAAATATATATTCTACAATATGTGACTTACCATAGAGTCCTCAAGTGAATGGGTTAAATGAATATTGCTTATATATTCTTGTCCCTTCTCTTCTAACAGATATTTACACCTAAACAATTAAAAGAAGGTTAAACTTTGGTAGCTGATAAGTTAGTAAAGTATAAGTAAAGATATAATCTCTATGATCTTAATTCCATTAACTTGCTTTTTGGTATTTCTAAGAAGCTGCAAAATGAAATGTTATCCAATTCCCTATCAACTGTCATTTTAAAGTTAAAAAAAAAATGTTCCCTTTGTTATGCTACTTTGCTAATCTCAGTGAGGCAAAAAATACCAACTTGAGAACTTTCAACTTTTAAGCAAGTTATTAAATTATCGCTTTGAGATTTAAAATTTTTTTCAAATAGTTCATCTTAAATTTTATTTAGAGGATTAAACCAACTGTACATTTTGAAGGAATTCTTTGGGCTTTCAACCTTTCCTTTTAAGGCTTTTTAAGGTTAAGGTTTATTTTCAAACAATTGCTCTGAAATTTTAAGTTGTACTATTTTGCAGGCCAAAAATTCTACACCACTTATATATACGTATACCTTATTTTTAAAGAAGCAAGATGGCAAAGAGACATTTAGTGTATGTCATTATCATTCTAAGATGCCATTGATTATAAGAAGCGTGATTATTTTATGTACCACCACTGCCAATTAAATTATGACCCACCACCAGATGTGTCCTCATTTCAAAAATTTGAAGATGTGAACAACTGTATGTCTTAGAAGCAGTGAGATACAGTACTATTTGATAGGGGGTGTGATGGGTTCTTAGGGAAAATCCTTGGCAACAAGGGCTCTCTTGTGCCCATCGTGAAAAGAGCCTACTTCCGACAACAAAACTATATATTCCCAATTTGGTGTTTAGAAACAGAATCATCTGAATGTCATAGATACAACACATAAGCAATGAATGCTTTGGTCACCACGGAAGGCTTAGGGCTTTTTTTTTTCTATAAAGTAGGTTACCCCATTTTTATAAAACTGGTGTGAATTGCAAGCCATGGTAAAGGCAAAAATAGTTAAGGTGAAAAGTTATTCAAGATTTTCCCACTGCAGTGTCTAACTTGCCTGTTTCTGAATAAACATTTAAATACCTTACCCTGGATACCACTTAGCGTGTTGTTCCCAAGGGTCTTCACTGGGCTTCCAATCAGTTAGCCCTCCTCCACAGTGAAAGCATTTTACTTTATCACCTTCCCCTAAAAAAAGACACAAGTAAAAATACATATATTTGTGCAATTAGAAGCTTACGCAAAAATACCCCCCTTAACACCATGAAACTAATCATTTCTAAATTACATGTAAATCTTATAGCTTCAAAGACGACATTCAAATTCACATCTAAGTCAGAGACATGATTGTTTGAAGAGGAAATACACAGTAAAATCACTGATTCAATCTGAGGTATTTTACAAAAGGCGAAAATAAAACTGGCCAATTTTTATGTGAAAAATTACAATTGTTACCTTCTTTCTAATGTGTCATTTGGGGCCACCAATACTACACTTTTTCAAACTGTGAAACTTTAACAGTACTTAGCATAACAAAATTACAAAGTAAGTTTCTCTAAGGTTATAGCTACAGGACACTAAATAAGCCTTCAAGATTGCTGTAGGAGACGATGTAAATAAAATACTGAAATAAATAATATTTTGCATTTGGGCACTACTCAATCCTAAAATAAATGGGTCAGATATATAATGGTGTAACTTTCCTGAATACACCTGGAAGCCATCACACTAACGGCCCTTCCTGACAAGTTTACAGCCGTCTGTTTGAGAAGTGCTTATTTGAAGCAAGAAGGCATCATACAGGACAGCTTTCAAATACAGTCTATATACAAAAGGCAGAGATCAATTTTAATATCAGCCAAACTAAACTCTTTAATGTTAACTCTTTTTTATGAGGTGTAGAAAGAATGCATGTAATACTTGTACTGAGCACATACAGTAGGTGCTCAATTAATTAGAGTTACTGTCAGACCCATTCTTCTATCGAGGAGATCTATCATCTTTTGCATGTCATCCTTCTCCAAAAAACAATCACATAAAGGTAAACATAACTCACAATATGGTTGTCTTTCTCCCATACATGTAGTGGTTACATTGCAGATTCAACATAAGGGTTCGCAGATTAATACTGATATAAATAATCATGCCAGCCTACACCTAAATATTTACCAGTTCAAGGGGCTAAAGGCATCTACTTTTTAGGAGCACTGCAATAGTTGGAAACGTAGTTATTAGCCTGGTTTAATAAGAAAGTTTACCTAAAGCATAAAATCCAGCTCTTGCAAGCTGCTCCTTGTTAACTGAGTATATCCACGTCCCAAAAGTAATGATCCGTGCTTCATAATCTGCCATGGCTGGATTTCTTGGAACATTTGTTGAATTTGGGAAATTCCTATCAGAACTCACAACATCAGATTCACTTCGAATGTTAACATTCCGGCCCAGAACAAAGAAGCAGTTAGGAAAGTGTCGCCTGTGTTCTGACCATGCACGATCACAAGGTTCCCAATTTTTCAGTTTTCCACCACAACAAAAGCACTGCACTTGATCATCAATACCTGTGTAGTAGAGTCCAGCACTAGCTAACTCTCTTGGGGTCAAGTGGGCATAGTCTGGCCAGTTCTGAAATGACTTTAATCTAGCTTCTTCACTATACATGGCAGGGTTCCTCGGGTATATGGTGTCTGAAATATCTACGACCTGTCCAGTTCTCAAAAGATAGTCTGCATGAGTCTCGGATGGCCTGTCTAAAACAAAATGATTTCTGTTTCCCAGGTAGCTTTCCGCTTTATACTGACCATTTTGGATACCCGGATTTGTAGGTTGTGCAGCAGTATTTTCAAAATAAAAGCCACTGATAAATCTGCAATTTGGGGATACTTTCCTGTGTCTTCCAACTGCTGAGTCTCCATATTGCCATCTATCTATTGCTGCATGACAACTAAAGCACCGCACGGTGTCTCCTTCACCAGTATACAGAAAACCAGCTCGTGCTAGCGTTGATGCGGAAACAGGACTACTACTTGGGAAATTAGCAAAAGTTTTTAATCTATTAAACTCTTCTAGAAATTCTTCATCCTTATCGATGTCTGCAGGTACACAAGTTTTAGATCCTTCAAAACTGTTAAAAGTCATCTTCTCTTGAAAATAGGACTTGTCCACCTTTTCTAAAAAGAGAACATTACATTAGGAAATCCAAAATGTGAAATACAGGCAATATAATTTTGATATTAGGAGCTAACAAATTACTTACTGATGACATAAAAGTAATTACACAATCTCTAAGAAACACTGTAATTCCAAATACTAGAGCTCTATATTACCACATGATTCAAGCTATAAAGTAAAACCTAGTATTTTCATTTTTTAGAGGAAAGTAATATTTAAGCAGGTAAAATAGAACTATTCATTTTTAATTGCTTATTTTACATAAATGTGGAAACTATGTGATACAGAATATATTAAAATTATTAACCATGTAAAATTATTAATTAGGAAAAACAAAAGCATAAAATATGCAGATTCTTAAACTTTGCGTAATTGTTATAATGGATCATTATATATTCAAGGCATCAAAGTTCAGTTTTTACAATTTAAAAAAAGTATGTTCAGAATGTTAATGAATAAATTTTTAATATTTACTTTTCTGCTTAGCAAAAGGTTGAGTTTTACTCACAATATTGGTTCCAATATGTCCTTTTTTTTTTTTTAAAGATTTTATTTATTTATTTATTTGACAGAGAGAGAGAGAGACAGCGAGAGAGGGAACACAAGCAGGGGGAGTGTGAGAGGAAGAAGCAGGCTTCCCACGGAGCAAAGCGCCCGATGCGATGCGGAGAGCCCAATGCAGGGCTCGATCTCAGGACCCTGGGATCATGATCTGAGCCGAAGGCAGATGCTTAACAACTGAGGCACTCAGGCGCCCCAGTTCCAGTATGTCCTTTCAGAGCATCAAATGTTTCTGATTTTCATGCATATGAAAATGGGACTCTTGCAGTCCATTTTTTGTTGGAATCGGATCATTTAGGATGTATATATTACTGCCCTCTAGAGGGTAGCTCAGGAAAAATACTAAGTATGTGTAGACCTTAATTGCAGGTACTTTAGCTATCAACTTCCCATGGTCAAAAAACAATCTGTTCAAATGGAAGAGAAGTACTACCACAGCCTCATCAAAGCTGCCAGATTACAGCTGTGTAACATTTAACCCAGATAAAATACTAAAAGGGACTAGCTGGGCTATGAGAAGGGTAGCCAGATAAATTATCCTCCAAACTTGGACACCTTGGAAAGTGAAAAATAATGCTGCTAATAATTACACTGGGACAACAGGCATAATTCAGGGTTGCCTCAGGCAAACCTGATTCTCCAGAATCTCACACTATTCCTAATACTCTGCTCAGTACATGCTTGGGGAAAAAAAAAAAAAGACGGTCACAATAATTCTGTCTCTACTTTGTATGTGCATTGATTTCTCGGGAAGAATTAGCAACCCCTGCATTATGTTGGCACAACAGGTCTTGGAACATCATCTCGGAGTAATGTTCAACGCAAGGCTTCTGTCTTGCAGGCTGGCAATAAACTTCAGTCTTTCCTGGCCTTGTCATTTACAATGGTAGTAATTCATATATACCACAAGAGCTGAGATATATCTGGATACAACAATTTTTGGAAGATAGACTCCATGACTCTTCATTATTGTTTCCCAGATGTCTGAAAACATTTTGACACTAGTGTCAAGACCCCTTGTTCAATCAGCATAAGGTGGATGACAAAAATCAAGATTCAAAGAAACCAAGGCTGGCTGACAGGCTGAGATGAAATTTTTTTTTTTTTAAAGATTTTATTTATTTATTTGAGACAGAGAGAATGAGAGAGACAGAGAGCACATGAGAGGGGGAAGGGTCAGAGGGAGAAGCAGGCTCCCTGCCGAGCAGGGAGCCCGATGTGGGACTCGATCCCGGGACTCCAGGATCATGACCTGAGCCGAAGGCAGTCACTTAACCAACTGAGCCACCCAGGCGCCCGCTGAGATGAAATTTAATAGGGATATTAAACATTACGTTCTGACTTTAGAAATCTGTTGCACAACTAAAGGAAAATGGAAACTTGGTTTAGAAAGAAGTCATGTGAAGGCAAACCTCTAGATTAAAATCTTGGGATTTTAGTTAATTAAAAATTCCATTATGAGGGGCTGGCTCAGTTAGTAGAGCATGAGACTCTTGATCTTGGGGTTGTGTGTTCAAGCCACATGTTGGGCATAGAGCTTATTTTAAAAAAAGTTCATTATGAGCCAACATTACATGGCTACTAAAAAAGAAACTTAAAGCAACTCCAGGCTGCATTAATGTCCAGATGTACAAGGTCCAGATCCAATTCAACTACATATTGAATATTATTTTCAGTACTGAAAACACTTCAGAAGGAACATTAACAAAGTGTCGTATCTATAGAGAGCAATCGGGATGATGAAAATGGTGTCCAATGAGGAACAGGTAGAAGAGCTGAGAGTGTTTATCTCAAAGGGAAAAAAAATGTGGGGAGAGGGCTGTAAAGGAAAGAATAATTACCATTAGCTATCTAAAAGGCTGTTATACAGGAAAGGGATCCAAATTCAGTGTAGCCTGAGGACAGAAGTCGAGTCAATGAATTTAATTATAGCCAGTAAATTTTAACCCAATACAAGGAGGAACAGTTACAACAATCAACAGCGGTGCAGAATGGATTGGGGGTGCCTTGTAGATTTCTCCCATCATGAGAAGGCACTTGGGCATAGAGTAGGAGGCAGGACAAAACATTTCTAAGTCTATAATGACCCTGAAGAATTAATGCTCAATATAATCCAGAACATATGAAAATTACCTTCTCTGAAGTGCTAAGTTTTATTTCTCAGGTCAATCAAAATAGAAGTATAAAATCAAGGATCTATTCTCATTTTGCAATAGCAGATATTTGTATGGTTCAAGTAGTCACCCCATTTCAGATATTATTACATAAAACTCCATCATTCAATAATAGCAGGAGAATCTCTATTTGAAGCTTTCAAGTGGAGACCTCATCTTCCCAGGGGTTATTTCCATGCTAATAGTTTGGATTTCACTGTTTTGAAAAGCAGATACTTATTTTTTTATTTTTTAAAGATTTTATTTATTTATTTGACAGAGAGAGATACAGCGAGAGAGGGAACACAAGCAGGGGGAGTGGGAGAGGGAGAAGCAGGCTTCCTGTGGAGCAGGGAGCCCGATGCGGGGCTCGATCCCAGGACCCCGGGATAATGACCTGAGCCGAAGGCAGACGCTTAACGACTGAGCCACCCAGGCGCCCCAAAAAGCAGATACTTATTCAGAAGCACCCAACTGAACACTACATATACATTATCAGAGTGTGAGCTTTTGTTGAAGGGTGCGAAAGCAGAATTACCAGAGAGGTTAAGGGTGAAAGGGAGAAAAATGACTGACAACAGATAGAAACCTTGGGATTGGCGGAAGGCACCAAAAGAAAGGGATGAAAGAGAGGATTTTATTTATAAAGGATTTAAGTGAAGTGAAGATGGAGAGATGATATTTAGAAAATAAGTATATATGGAGCACAGGAATTGTGAATAGAGAAGAAAATGGGGTATGGATATTGGAGAAGGGTGATAAAAAGCTTTGGATGTGAAAAAGTCTAAGTGCAATAAAGTATGCTGAGATCATTTAAGGCTTCTTTGTGAAAGCACACTCACGCTCTGTATTGGGTAAGCAGAAAGGTAAGAAGGCACACAGAAAAAGATGTCAAAGAAAGCTCTGTAATTAAAGGGGCTAGGCAGTCAGTAATCTTGAACGGAATGGTGGTTGGGAAAAATGGTACTATGGAAGCCAACAATGGCACAGAAAAAATCAGCAAGCAGTGCCACATGCATGGAAAATTTCAAGATCATGAGATGTTGTGTTTAAAATATACACATACCAAAAAAATACACTTACATGTACATATACATACATACACAGCACACATATACATTTAGCATAGTCAACTGAGTAAAGATAGCCACATAAAACCCACCTACTGGTATCTGCACACAATACAAAAGTTTCTACTTCTCCTAGGCTTTTATTACTGAAGTTGTCAAATATACAGAAAAAAGGTTATTTTAATGGAGAAAAGGACATAAAGTAAGGTATACATCAGACTGCCACTGCATGAAAACATATACTTACGGATAAGACTTGTTCTTGTTTTTTGTTTTGTTTTTTAAAAGATTTTATTTATTTATTCATGAGAGACAGAGAAAGAGAGGCAGAGGGAGAAGCAGGCTCCCCAAGGAGCAGGGAGCCCGACGCGGGACTCGATCCCAGGATCCCAGGATCATGACCTGAGCCAAAGGCAGATGCTTAACCCTCTGAGCCACTCAGGCGCCCCCAAGACTTGTGGGTTTTTTTTAAAGATTTTTATTTTATTTATTTGACAGAGAGAAAGAGTGCACACATGTGCACTCGAGCAGGGACAGAGAGAGAGGGAGAAGCAGGCTCCCCACTGAGCAGGGAGCCTGATGCGGGGCTTGATTCCAGGACCCTGAGATCATGACCTGACCCGAAGGCAGATGCTTAACCAACTGATCCACCCAGGTGCCCCTGGATAAGACTTATAAGGTAATTTTTTTAAAGTAAACTCTACCCCAAACATGGGGCTTGAACTCATGACCCCGAGATCAAGAGTCACATGCTCTGCCAACCGAGCCAGCCAGGCACCCCCCCTTTTTTATTGTAAGGCAACTTTTATTAAGTGGGTAAATTAGGTTAGGGTGGCAGGAGTACAGGTGATCCTTTTCTCCAGAATGTCTTTTTTTCCCCCCAAATGTCTTTAATAATATTTTCACTTACAGTCTCTCAGGTTGGCGCTGTTGGCCTGGATCAGGAGCCCAGTCATGGGGGAGGTGGATGGGCTAACTGCCCCCTCAACCTCCTCCACTGGAGCCCTGCAGAGAGGAGGGAGGGAATTGTGCCTCTACCGGCTGCACTGCCAGACCAGTCCTTGCTGTCCTGTGAAGCCCTGTGGAGCTCAGCGGAGCTAAGCACTGAGATCCAAGCTGACTCTACAGATGCATTTGGTGAGCTGTGGATTCCTGGCCTGCGGCTGAGTGTGCGCATGCGCCCACCTAGCACTCCACAGAGGCAGCCTGGCACTC